ATGCATATTTAAGATATCCGCCATCTTGGATCATCAATCTTGAATTTTCAAAAATACTTGGGTTTTTTTCATGATAAAGCCTAAAATACATTGTAAACATACTAAAGACCTTCATTTAAACTCTTTTTGGAACAAGAAATGGAAGTGTTGATTAAATCTTAATGAAAATAACCTGTATATACCTGTTCTAATGATATGGTCCGCCATCTTAAATTTTGGCCAATGACGTTATCAAATTAGCATAAATTATGTATATTTAATGAAAAAATTTACATAAAATTATATGGGATGTTATTAATATTAGAAACCATGAGTAACTTGACATAAAACCCATAAAATTCTATTGTTGAAACAAAAAGTACTAAATTTAGCAAAAAATGCCTGTCAGAAACCCGTTGCCATGGCAACACAAAAAATTATTATCTTATTCCAATGATAGAGAATTGATGCCAACAATATTCTAGGAAAAGTCACCAAGTTTGGCCGTTCTACGGCTAGCCGTTCAGACGCTAGGTGACATCAAAGTTGCCGCGGGCACTTTTTAGCCCCCCCCGGTCCAGGTAGGATTAAGGAAATGTAACCCCCATTTTTTACCCCCCCTAGGGTTATCTAGAGATCGCCTATCCCGTTGGTCAAAGTACTTGGCATGGGTGCTCGTGGTGATGGTTTCTGTCGTCTCGTCGTTCTTTGTGATCCTGTACAGTCTGGACTGGGGTAGAGAGAAGAGTGAAGCCTGGCTCAAAACATTCTTCTTGTCGTTTGGTTTGTCAAGCATCGTAGCAAGGTAACGTTTGCATGCGTTTTACACCTGGACTAATTTCCGTCGCTCAGCTTCGTTACACCAGTACCTGTTAAACTTGACTAATGGTGAGCTTATAATTTTGTACCCACAGATACTTCTTCTAGCGGCTATGTTTGCATTGGTTTGTAGTAAGACATCATCTAACAAACAGAGGACGTACATTATCAAGAAACAGGAGCTCCAAGGGTACCTTTTGCGACAGAAAGGTAAACTAGTGTGACACCTTAGAGATTATTATGTTAGGTATGGTTTAAAAACGTGATTTGGAATGGAAAACAATTTTGGAAAATACGGAAAGTTCTGGAAGCCTGCTTGCGCATTCTTTTTTTAAATAGCAACCAATGACGTTCTGTGGCAAATAGCAGACATTCAAGAGATTTGAAACGTCCGGCAAGTAGATGTAGCTTGCGTTCATTGATTATATAATGCAAATCAAATAAAAAGATATAATGCAATTGTATGACAGACTTACTTTGGTATAAAAGCATAGTATACATTAGGCGACCACATCTTTAAAGCAAGAGCATCTTTAACCCAAGATTCAAAACCGGGCCAATAAATGAAAGCTAATTTCTATCCATTCACTTCTAAAACAAAACATACCATCATACCATCAACCAGTATTACCAAAAACAAACCTTGCGAAAAGAATACATTCGTCACAATAAATTAATATACTTATGAACATAATTTTTCAGCTCCACAGAAGTTCAATCCGCCCGTTCCCGCATGCCCCGGGAAAATAAAAATGAAACATGAACAACGGCGGAAATTCTTCAACGTGCTGAAGGAGTTCATTCTGCTGTTTCTGTTTGTTGTGATTCTGTTCTTCATCAGCCATCACGATAAAGACCAGACTGCTTTCTACGCATCGCAAACGTTGTCTGGCACACTTCTGGAAGATTGCACCTCGGTAGGTAATTTCATGTATATCATAATCACATATTGTTATGAAGAGAACTATAGGATTCAACATGGAAGTATGGAAGAAACAACATTAGCTGCCTTAACAAATACAATACGAAAGCGGGTAGAAGAATTTCACAAAGTGGAACTTTGATTCAATTCGGTTACTTTTCTCCAATAAACCACAAGTTCAAGCCTGAACGCGAGATAATAAATGATCCCCTCAACTGTTCAACGTTTCCTAGACAACTTGAAGTGCTGAACTTTCTGTACCTTGTGGTAACATAGTCCTAAAACTTCCAATATGTTTGATGATAAATTCAATGTTACTGTTAGCTTATGATCAATGTAGAGCCTACTGTTACCGTGAACCCATTGTGGGCTACCTTCCACGACAGAGTATACCGGTTCAAAACCCTTCCAATCAAGTAAAACACAAGTTCCTCCTAGTCACTTCAGAATTAATAACATACAAAAAATAAGACCAAAAAAATGGACGGAATAATTAGATTCAAGAGTAACTATTTACTGAATTTTTTAAGAGGAAATTTCGATACTTACTTAAAGTAAAACCGTTTTTTAATACTTTATTCATGGTCTAAGTTGTGATCCAATGAATACACCATCCTCTGCGTTTGGTTTGCCACAGATCAGCACTGCTGACGAGTTTTGGACATGGAGTGAGGAGATCCTCCTGCCTGTTTTGTACCCGTCGTTCTGGTACAATGGGTGGAAGATGAAGTACTTGGACAGACAGTTTCCACTTTATACTGAAGCCTTCAGAGTCGGCCCCCCACTCCTCACTCAACACAGATATATGCCAGGTGCGATCTGTAAATCTTTTACTTAAGTTAAATCAATTATATATTGTTAGATGTATTCTTTAAAACAAACTTAATCCCTTGATGGTACAAGAAAAAGTAATATTGAAAAGAACCAATTAAGGGGGTATTAATATGTACAAGTTTATATACTATATTTTGTTTGACTAATGTTTTATTTGATATACATGTACCCATGTCATGTGTGGTTATGGTTAGTCTGTTCGTACATGATTCCTTTAGGCTCACGTTACTTATGGATGTAAAACATACTTTAACTGTGTGCTTAGTTCTTAGTAGTTAGCATTATTTAATATTAAAATAAAGGTGTTTTACAACCTCTTCGCATTTGGGACCTCATTTGCAGAGGCTTAAGTGCACAGTAAATAAGTAACACCCTGCTCTAGTGCACAGCAAGCCATTTATAATTGCTCTGATGAAGAATACAAACGGTCATTAAAACAGCAGCTGTTGTAAACCAAGATTGTAAAAAAAGAACTTTCATATTCAATAACAATTGGCTCATAAGAAAGTATAAAATATCAGAATTATTTTTGGGTATGGGGGTATTGGTATGTTTTGACAGCGCTTTTATATTCGTCTTAGACGATTTGATAATGAAAAAATGAAGTGAGTTTATTTGCTATTTTGTTCATTTTTCATATTTTCTCCATTATAATTACTACTATATGATTATCACTACCACAATGACACTTTTTGTCTTTTGTACATTGCATCAAACAGCATGTATTAGATGCCTCTACGTATTGGATAAGCACTACAGGTACACAAAAGCATTTAGAAAGAAATTATTTTTGCCTGTGCTAAAACAATATTTTGTATTCGATGCAGACGCTATTGCAACAGAACATCCCGACACTGGCTGGATCATTGCAACTCCAAACAACACATCTGCTTGTTGGCAGTTCAATGGTACCAGCGGTGTGTCATACAACCCAGCTTGTACCACAAGATTCTCCATACTACTTTTAAATGTGGAAAAGTCAACAGCAACAACACTCTTCACGAATCTTAAGAATGCCAGGTGGATCGACAGATACACAGACTATGTTGTTCTGGAGTTATCTTTGTACTACCCAGCCACAAAACTGTTCAGCAGTCTGAGACTGACCGTACAACAGGAGGATATCGGTCATCTGTCTACATCTGCAACTGTGGAAACACACAGGCTCTTTCAGTTCGAAAATGCCCATGATTATTTGATGTTGTTTTTCTACATCCCGTTTATTTTGCTGTTTGTTGTTAATGTTGTCAAAGAAGCTATGAACATGAAAAAAATGGGAAGAAAGTTTTTCAGTTCGATTTGGAACATCTTATCCCTAGCGAGTATAATTGGATCTGCAGCTGCCATCTTCATCTTTGGAATGAGGTACCACTCAGCATCTGCCGCTCTGGCAGAATTGGTTGAAGCAACGGGTAAATGGCGTATCGAATTTTGCAAATTAAATGTGCTTTAAACGTGTTTTAAAGTTCTGTAGCTTTTGATCGGCTACAAAAGGGTATGTAAAATATAACGATCTTTATGAACAGCTTTCGTGAAATCAGGGAGCTTGAATGGATAAACACTATGTTTAATAAGAACAACCTTTGCCTTCTTTTGTAGGTGAATTGGGAATAGACAGGTTTGTCGACTTTAGCTCCACGTTCTGGTGGGATGAAACTTTCAAGACCGTGCTGGCCTTGGTAGTGTTCATCACTACACTGACGTTACTCCGAGTCGTCCGCTTCAGCAAGACCATCGCCAGTTTCATCGCCCTGCCGGGTGTCATGAAGAACGACCTGATCGGCTTCTCAATCGTCAGCGCTATAGCCTTCATGGCTTTCAGCTGCTCAGGTAAGAGGTCTTAAACACAACACTATTGTATCCAGAACCACGCCTATCTAGTTCTATACGTGACTGCTTTAGGATTAAAATCAGACACGGGTCTAGATTGTCCCTAAGCATCCAAGAAATGAACGAAGATTTGCTCCAGACCTGGTTGTGGATACGCATGGACTATACCGAACTGTGCTTTGAGCATGAACCGAATAAAGATGAAACAGACACTTAATTTTCTTGATGAAAGTACATTGAGTTCTTTGAAGTTCTTTGAACAAGTTGCCAGACCCGCGTAGAATGTACAATCACATTACAACTTGTTGGCAAAAAATTGCTTTAGAATCAGAAAGTATCACTTTCCAAATGTAAGATTTACCAGATAGCTTAGACACTAGCTTGTTTAATGATCTGGGGGGATTTTGTTATGGCGCAACACATGTTTGGTTCTTGTGACGACAGCGCAACATATACCCGATATGCCATAAGAATAATAAACGCTACAAAAAGCCATAGCAATGATTGTCTGTGTCAGCTAGTAGTGGCTCACAATACACAGTTTCTTTTCATATTGATTGGCAGATATGTAGTTTGTTACGGACAAACATTTAATGTCCTTTCCCATTGTGCGCAGGGACGCTGGTGTTTGGGACCCACATGAAGGCATACAGCAATATGTTACAAACAACATTTGCGTTATTGCAGATGTTGTTGGGAAGGTAAGAAATAAAATTGCTTTCTTCACGAAGCATAATATAGCGGATATTTACTAGCCATTCGTCTTACTATATACATTTGCATTTCGTATACATATACATACGTTTTATACTGTTTAAAGTTAAAACTTTTGATTCAACACAAAAAAATCTCTCACCTAGAGCTTTCGACCAGTCACTCTGGTCTTCCTCAGTAGACTGACCCAGTAAATCTTGTCACGTGGCCTCTTTAAAGTGACGTCAACACGTTTTATACTGTTGTTTATTTTCTTAGAATCGACCCAAAGACATGTTACCGCAGAAAAAGAATGGGGATTGTAACAATGGTACTGTAAGAAATGCTCACTGCCTTGCTCTGGCTATACGTGAAGTAACATGGATTGATATAAATATTATGCCAATAACATGGCGTACCGTGGACCTAGACACAGCATCATTATTGAAACAAAAATCCTTAGTGTGAATATCAAGGTTATTGTTCGTAAATGTTTTGTATAACAGCAACATGTCTTTCAGCGGTTTAAGTAATTGGTAATGTTTTTCAGTTTCTCTGTGGAGGAAATCTTAGGATCGAACAAATATGTTGGCCCGATCTTCTTCACATTTTTCATGATACTCATCTTTATACTACTTGTCAACTTCCTGGTAACCATCATCTGTGATGCCATCGCTTCTGGTGCCTACATTGCCGATGAACATGACCAAGAACTGGCTGATTATATTTGGAGAAGCTTCCAGGAATTATTTGGGTTTTACGTTCCTCCAGGAACAGATGAAATAACAGGTAAAATATGTCAATTGACTACTGTACCTCCCCCGTTAAAAACAATGTTTACCCATGGAAGGATTGGTCAAAGCGTCCACTCATTTCTTTAATTAACCCTACCTAGACCGGGGGGGGGGGCTAAAAGTGCCCGCGGCAACTTTGATGTCACCTAGCGTCTGAACGGCTAGCCGTAGAACGACCAAACTTGGTGACTTTTCCTAAAATATTGTTGGCAACAATTCTCTATCATTGTAATAAGATAATAATTTTTTGTGTTGCCATGGCAACGGGTTTCTGACAGGCATTTTTTGCTAAATTTAGTACTTTTTGTTTCAACAATAGAATTTTATGGGTTTTATGTCAAGTTACTCATGGTTTCTAATATTAATAACATCCCATATAATTTTATGTAAATTTTATCATTAAATAGGCATAATTTATGCTAATTTGATGACGTCATTGGCCAAAATCCAAGATGGCGGACCATATCATTAGAACAGGTATATACGGGTTATTTTCATTAAAATTTCATCAATACTTCCATTTCTTTTTACAAAAAAGGTTTGAATGAAGGTGTTTAGTATGTTTACAATGTATTTTAGGCTTTATCATGAAAAAAAAATATTTTTGAAAATTCAAGATTGATGATCCAAGATGGCGGATATCTTAAATATGCATGACGTCATTTTATGACGTCACCGGTGTTGCTATGGGCAACATAAGACTTAGTACACACTAATATTCTGTCATAAACACTTTTGGTAAAGTTATGTTGTATACCAGGGAGGTTTTCAGGGAAAAACCTATTTAGACGGTTTTGGCCAATAAAATCACATTAATGACGTCATAATGACGTCATATTACGTCATAACGACATAAAAATTGTAGATATGATAAATTTTTACTAGTACACCATTCTCTGAAAATTTGGTGGTCATACGACATACCGTTCGCGAGTTCTT